CGCGTGCAAGTGCGGCTACGTTCCGCAGCCCTATTGCAGAATTTCAGATGACCTAGCGCGGAGTGAGCAAGTTCACCACGTGGGTATTTTCCAGAATAGGGGCCCCCTAATATACCCCCAAACTACTATAGTCCTCCTTATAGGAGCCCCGAAAAAGCGCACCCCTATTTTCGGACAATTTTCGGACAACCCCACATTCTTCACGTAGACGTACTCGATGTCGGTTTTCTGGGATGTGCACTCTCAACGTTACTAGAAGCGCGTCAGCCTGAGTAGCTGAATGAGAACACAACACTTTACACTTTTTTGGGATACCCTAATCCCCTCTAGAACCGAAAGTGTACATTTTTGGGTGATTCTTATGAGGTTTAGGGTTTAGGGTTTAGGGTTTAGGGATGAACTCAGCAACTCAGCAGCCCCTCTGTCGGGCCTGACGGCCGGGGTCAAACAGCCGTCTGTTGCAGTGCGGACCCCCATGGCTCCAGCTGTGCCCTAAACCCTAAACCCTAAACCCTAAACCCTAAACCCTAAACCCTAAACCCTAAACCCTAAACCCTAAACCCTAAACCCTAAACCCCCATGGCTCCAGCTGTGCCATCCTTGCGAGTGCAGCAGCTCGAAGAGCTGCAACGGCGACATTCCCTTCAGCTGCAGCAGTTGCTTGGTTACTGTCCCTGGTCCTTAGTTTAGGGTTTAGGGTTTAGGGTTTAGTGTAGGGAATGAGGGGATGAGGGCCCTGCCTTAGATATGCCCTTTCCGGGATTATATAGCGGACCTCACTCCTGCATTACCTACTAAGACCCAGCCAGTTACTTTGAAGTTGGTGATGCGTAGGTCCTTGCGTTCCGCCCTAAACCCTAAACCCTAAACCCTAAACCCCAAACCCTAAACCCTAAGCCCCTCCAAGGATGCTTGCGAAAGCATCCAAAGAACCTGCCACACGGACTCCGCGGGCATCCACCGCAAGAGCAAAGGCAAGGCGCTGATGACACCGTTTGGCGCGTAGGGGGTTTAGGGTAGGGTTTAGGGTTTAGGGTTTAGGGTTTAGGGTTTAGGGTTTAGGGTTTAGGGTTTAGGGTCTAGGGTTTAGGGTTTAGGGTTTCGGGTTTAGGGTTTAGGGTTTAGGGTTTAGGGTCTCAGTTTCCCTCAGAGACAGGCTGAGTTTTTGTCCAGAAGACTTTTGGCCTTGCTTCCCTTGTTTGGTCATCGAACGCGCTGCGGGATTGGCAGGGGTAGTTTGTGTGTCGATGAGACAGGCATGTACCCCCTCCTTCCCGCCTCAGGAAGCCCTTCCCTTAGCCTACAGACCTTTTGGGGTACCTAGCTTCCTAAGGGTCAAATCCCCAAAAGAGGTTCTACCTAGTGATATGGCTAGAGTTCCTCTCCAAGTTCTAAGGGTAGCGACATTGGCCCTTAATATGGCCCCTGACCTCCTTTAAAGGGTTTTGAAGTCTGGGCCCTTAGGTTGTATGGGGTATGTAAAGGGTCTATAAGGGTTTCCCTTTTCAGGGCCCATATTCAGGGACCATGAAAAACCACCCGTACAAAAGTAGGTAAACCTAAAAAACACTAAGCCCACAACTCTAAACCCTAAACCCGAAACCCTAAACCCTAAACCCAAAACTCTAAACCCTAAACCCCCCTAAACACCCACAACCCTCAGCCTGGCCCGAGCAGGTCTCCGGTGAAGGTGCCAAATCCGCCACACGAGCCAGCTCGGCCAGCCACTGCGCTACTACTGCGAGGGCGCCGCCCCTGAGGCCCTTGTTGGGAGTGAGGGGGTTTAGGGTTTAGGGTTTAGGGTTTAGGGTTTAGGGTTTAGGGTTTAGGGAGCACCCTGAACCCTGCACCCCCCCTTAAACCCTGGGTACGTACCTATATATCCCTCAATACCGAGCTTTGCAACCTTAAATTCCCGAAACCTAGGGCAGGGTTCAGGGTTCAGGTTTCAGGGTTTAGGAACCTTCAACCCCGAAACCCTGGAAACCCTAGACCCTAAACCGCGAGCCTGAAGCATGGGGTTTGGGGTTTGGGGTTTAGGGTTTAGGGTTAGGGTTTAGGGTTTAGGGTTTAGGGTTTAGGGTTTAGGGTTTAGGGTTTAGGGTTTAGGGTTTAGGGTTTAGGGTTTAGGGTTTAGGGTTTAGGGTTTATAGGGTTTAGGGTGGTTCAACCTCAGGTCGCCACCGCGCCGGAGCCCGTCCCAGCCTTCGCCCCCCACAAGACCTACGCCGCGGAGGCGCGCAGGGGGCTCTTTTGCATTTTGGTTCTGAGGGCTGAGGGGGTTTAGGGTTTAGGGTTTAGGGTTTAGGGTTTAGGGTTTAGGGTTTAGGGTTTAGGGTTTAGGGTTTAGGGTCTAATTAATAATTAAGGTTAGGGTTTCGGGTTAAGGGTTAGGGCTTTCGACAGGTTTAGGGCTTGGTGCGTTTCGTTTCGTGGGTTAAGGGCTTGGGGGTCTTCAGTAGGTTTGTGGGCTTGGGGGGCTCTGATAGGTTTGAGGGCAAGTAGGTTTAGTCGGTGTGGTCGGTTCAGGGTTTGGTTTTTAGTAGGTTTAGGCCTTTAGGATTTAGTAGCTTAAGGGTTTAGTAGGTTTTGGTCTTACTGCTTATGGCATCTGGTTAGTTTTTTGGTATGGGGTGTGGGGCAGGGGCGGCTTTCATTTGTCGTATTTTCTAGGGCTTAGATGTTACCCTACACCCTAACCCTAAACCCTAAACCCCAAACCCGACGATGATATTGATGACGCTGAGGCCGGTGGCTTTTGTTGCCTGCAGTGACACTGTTATGCACATACGCCCTGAACCCCAACCTACCAAGTACAATCCAGAGTGTTGCCCCACCCTCTCCCTCCCCCCCAAAAACAACAGCCTGTTTAAATAGTCACGCAAAAACAGACTATAAGAACATACTTTTAAGAGTTCAACTCAACATAAATAAGGTGCATAGCTCGGGATGCCTTAAGTAGGGATAGTACCCCTATTATCATCCTTATGAAGGACTGTTAGAATAAGGGGGCACATCCCAATCTATAGCAACCTTCTTGAACCCCGAAACTCCCCATGTGCCAGTTCCAGCTCCTGCGGACCATGCACAAGCGCAACTCCCCTCCCCAGCGAGGCCGCTTGTGAGGGTTTAGGGTTTAGGGTTTGGGGTTTAGGGTTCAGGGTTTAGGGTTTAGGGTTTAGGGCTTGGGGGAGTTTAGGCGTTTAGATGGGGTTTAGGGGTTTAGGGGTTCAGGGCAGAAGTACCAACGCCCCCTTCAGGGGCCCTCTTCCCCCAACAATTCGCCAAACAAGGCTGAGTCGAAGGTTTGGGCTTTCTTTTGGGTCGTGGGTGGATCCTCTGATCCAGCCGCTGTGAAGTTTGAGCGTAGGGCGGCTTCAGCCCTGAGCCCTAAGCCCTAAGCCCTAAGCCCTAAGCTTCGAGTGATGAGAGGGCCTATGGATTAGGGTTTAGGGTTTGGGGGCATCTATAACTAGGATGCAGCGTAGGACCTCATTCTCTTGTTGTTTAGGTTTTAGGTTCCCTTATAAGCCCCGTTAAACCACCAAGGGCACCCTTTCTATTCCTACCCCAGATTCCAGACCCGAAGCCCCAAATACGCGAGCCTAGATGATTAACAAGATTGGCCCCTTCATTCTTCAAACTCCATGGGTTTCACATGAGCCCTAAAAAAGTTTGGCAGATACCCTATACTACTATAATCCCTATTCGGGTATGTGAACTACAAACCTTTCAGGGTTCATCTGGTCCTTCTAAGACTAGACCAGCACAGCTTGAGGTACATCTGGGGCCTACGTGATGTTGTCCACAGACGGCTCAGGGCTCATATGGCTCGCCATGTCCTGAGGGGGGCCCCTCAGACCAGAACTCCTCGTAAATCCTGTGTTCCCGCACCTATCGGCTCAGATACTTTTGAAATTTTTGGGGAATTTTGATTTTTCAAAAATCTTTCTTCCACATCATGGACTGGGCGCACATGGTGCCCAGCAAAAGTGACGGGCTCCTTCTGCTTCTTGGCAGCACGGCGCTGGCGTTCCACTTCCGCACGTCGTGGGAGGACCTGGTGCGTGAGCTCTTGCAGGCCGGGAGGTTTCGGTTTCTCTGGGACGCCCAGTCGAAAACACCTTTCATCCCAAAGGTTGATAGGTTTTAGGGCTTATAGGGCTTTAGGGCCCTTTAGGGCCCTGTAGGGCCCTTCAGGGCCGTTTAGGGCCCTTTAGGGCTTTGGGGAGAGCATCCTCCTTGATCTTCTCAAGGCTACCTTGACTGCACAAGCAACCTCCAACCCTAAACCCTAAACCCTAAACCCAGAATCCAGTGGGAATCGATTTTACCGGTAGGCTGTCGCTTTTCCCGCTCACAACCGATGATTAAGCTGCAGAAGAAAACGGACACGCTGGGCGGTTTAGTTTTTAGGTTTTAGGGTTTAGGGCTTAGGGTTTAGGGCCAAGCAAGGGTGCTTTGAACCCCTAAGATGCCGGGACTGTAAGGGTGCAGCCCCTAAACCCTATACCCACAACAAGCTCTCACGCAACTAACCCCCAAACAACCCCTAAGGAAACCCCCTACCGAAGCCAAGTCGGATGGTCAGGAGCGCTCTTATTCTTGTTTTAAGGGGAACTTGTGGAGGTTCATGGTACTTATTAACCAATTGTAGCTGCACTTATAACCCAGTTATAGGCCCGAAACCCTAGCCCTAAACCCGAAACCCTAAACCCTAAACCCTAAACCCCAAACCCCAAACCCTAAACCCTAAACCCTGAACCCTAAACCCTAAACCCTAAAACCGAAACCCTAGCCCTAAACCCGAAACCCTATAGCTCCTCTCCGAAAGGTGCTGCACAAGGCCGCGGCCTACGAGGAGTCGCCGCTCAGCGAGAGTGAAGCCGCGCGGGTGGAGGAGGAGCTGGTGCAGGCCTGGGGTCTAGGGTTTAGGGTTTAGGGTTTAGGTTTAGGGTTTAGGGTCTAGGGTTTAGGGCTTAGGGTTTAGGGTTTCGGGTTTCGGGTTTCGGGTTTCGGGTTAGGGTTTGGTGGTTAGGGTTTAGGGGTTTAGGGGTTTAGGGTTTAGGGGTTTAGGGGTTTAGGGGTTTAGGGGTTTAGGGGTTTAGGGGTTTAGGCTTTTAGGCTTTTAGAGCGTTTGTAGGGTTTACTGTCTATAGGGTTTATAGGTTTTATAGGGTTTAGGGGTCTACGGTTTAGGGTTTAGGTTGGTTCAGGGTTTACGAGGCAACCCTAAAACCCAAACCCCATGTTTCTACAGCTTTTTTTGGGCTAGGGTTTCAGGGATTTGGGTTTTCAAGTTGCAAAGTTTGGGGCTTTAGAGGCTCGGGGCTTGCAGTTGTGGGGTTGCGCATGTTGCGCGACGTGGGAAATGGGTCTGGGCGACTCGCGGGAAATTGCCACGTCAAGGTCCGAGGCCATCAAGAGCCACTAGCAGCCCCACCCTAAACCCTAAACCCTAAACCCTAAACCCTAAAGCCTAAAGCCTAAACCCTAAACCCTAAACCCTAAACCCTAAACCCTAAACCCTAAACCCTAAACCGTAACCCGAACACTTCAAACAGATTTTGGTATTCCATTCCATGGCTTCTCTCTTGGAGCCCCAGGAGCCCCAAGCCCTAAACAGTAGACCCGAAGGTGCGGCTCCAGATGTTCATGAAGCTGGCGCACGTGCTCGCGGCCGAAGCTTCATGTGCGGCTGCACTGGGTTTAGGGTTTAGGGTTTAGGGTGTAGGGTTTAGGGTTTAGGGGTTAGGGGTTTAGGGTTTAGGGTTTAGGGTTTAACTCCCCGAACCCGGAAGCCATGGGACTCCAGGAAAAGACAGCGTGCCTGCATTGGGTCGAAGGTCTGCACATCATGCCCCAAAACCCTGAACCCCGAACCCTAAACCCTAAACCCTACACCCTAAACCCTAAACCCTAAACCCTAAACCCTAAACCCTAAACCCTAAACTTACTGATCAGGTGCTGCATCACTTTAGCTTCTTGACCATGCTGGTGGGCCTGGCAGACTTCCTCCGTGGGCCGAGTTGGTTCTCAGCTTGCTCCTGGGAGGATTTAGGATTCGGAAGGGAAGATTTGGGGTGTTAGGGTTTGGGGTTTGGGGTTTGGGGTTTGGGGTTTGGGGTTTGGGGTTTGGGGTTTGGGGATTGGGGATTGGGGATTGGGGATTAGGATCTGGGGTTGCAGGTTTAAGGTTTGGGGTTTAGGGTTTGGGGTTTGCTGTGATGTGGTGCAGAAGGTGTGAGTGTCAGATTAGCTAGGCTTCGACGGCTGTGGAACGTGCGAAGGGCAGCTCTGGCTTGGCGGTGGAGGGGCACCAAGCTTTTGTCCCGCCCCCCACGCCGTTTAAGGCGGCTAAACCCTAAACCCTAAACCCTAAACCCTAAACCCTAAACCCTAAACCCTAAACCCTAAACCCTAAACCCTAAACCCTAAACCCTAGCTGTTTTTTATACCCAAGACCGTAAACCCTACTATTTTCGGGAGTTATACCTTCGATTTTTTGGGTGGTTCAAGCCCAGAACTCACTTTTGCAGCAAGCTGTTTCGTCCCTAAACCCTAAACCCTAAACCCTAAACCCTAAACCCTAAACCCTAAACCCTAAAATTATGCAGGTAGCTTCCTTGAGTCCAGGGACCTCTCGGGGCGTTTCAGGGGGGGGCTCCTCGGGCAGCCGGCTGCCAGGTTCAGGGTTTCGGGGTTTCGGGGTTTAGGGTTTGAGGTTTAGGGTTTAGGGTTTGGGGTTTAGGGTTTGGGGTTTAGGATTTAGGGTTTGGGGTTTAGGGCTTAGGGTGTCGGGTGTAAGCGGTTCCTTGGCCGCCCAGGCTTCCTGTCGCTGGCCGTCCTGACGTACCTGACGCTCAGCAAGGGTTTAAGGTTTCGGGGTTTAGGGTTTAGGGTTTAGGGTTTATTGTTTAGGGCTTAGCTGTGACTCCCAAACCTTCAAAGTAATTCGTAGGCGCGAAACCCCTAAGCGCACGGCGTAACCCCCCGAAAAGTCATTAAAAGAAGCCCCAGGGTTTAGGGTTTGGGGTTTGTGGTTTAGGGTTTAGGGTTTAGGGTTTAGGGCTTGGGGTTTAGGGTTTAGGGTTTAGGGCTAGGGTTTAGGGTTAGGGTGCTTGGGGCCCTGGGGCATGGTACATTCTGCCGCTCTTAGATTTCAGAGAGGCCCTTTGATTGCCGGCATTTTCTTGCTTTCGGAGGGCTAAACCCGAAACCCTAAACCCTAACCCCTAAACCCTAAACCCTAAACCCTTAACCCTACACCCTAAACCCTAAACCCTAAACCCTAAACCCTAAACCCTAAACCCTAAACCCTAAACCCTAGCCGAGGATCTATCAGCTCGTCGTGAGCGGCCGCGTGGCCGTGAAGCACGACGCAACCCTCAAGCTCCCCAGAAAGGCCCTGAGTAGATTTTTGTTTTTAGGGTTTTTTCTAGTTTAGGGTTTAGGGTTCAGGGTTTAGGGTTTAGGGTTTGGGATTAAGGTCCAAATCAGAAATGCTATCCACGAAGTTTTTTGTTTCAGATTTTTTCAATGAACCCGCCTAGGCTTCTCTGCGTCGTCCTGAACAGCATCGTGCTGTCGGCATCCGGGACCACCCATTTTTCAGTAAGCTTTTTGCATTGTTTGCATTTGTTTGCATTTGTTGCACTTTGTTGCGCTCTTTGTGTGTGTGTGTGTGTGTGTGTGCGTGTGCGTGTGCGTGTGCGTGTGCGTGTGCGTGTGGTGTGTGTGTGTGTGTGTGTGTTTACAGTTCCTGCAATTATTTGAACCATGTTTTTGCATTTATTTATTGTGTTTTGTAAAACAAACAATCCCAAAATCCAAAGTTTCCTGGGAGATTCTCCGGAGAAGTTGGGATTTCTGGGACTTCTGATTTAAAGCACAACATATGCACAAAAAGTGCTAAAAGGACGAGTATTTGTAAAAAAAACTGTAAAAAACACCAAAAAACACATGAACAAGGTGCAAACAAGTTCAATGACAATACAAAAGTTTTGTAACTAAACGCGCAACAACAAACACACAGAAAGTGTAATAACTGCACAAAAAAGCATTAAACAAAGAGCTACAAATGTAAAGAAGCATCGTAAAAAAAAACCAGGGAAAGCATCACAGGGTGCAGTGTATGTAGGAGGTTTCACATGTCGAGGTTGGTCTTCTAGGTTGAGCGGGGGGGGGGGGGCGACCATATGTATATATATATATATATGCATACGTATGGACAGACGAAAAGTGAATGAAAACAGGTAGATAAATAAAGAAAAAAGATGTATATATGTATAGATATAAATATAAATATCTTTATATGCTCCCCTTCAAAGATCCATACGTTTCGAGTGTTGTCGAGCCCGTTGTGAATGCTTGCGAGTCGTGTGTGAGGCCGTGAACGAAGTGAAGGGATGCTGAAGGAATGTGCGGAACCCCGAAACCCTAAACCCTAGGCCCTAAACCCGAAACCCTAAACCCTAGGCCCTAAACCCTAAACCCTAAACCCTAAACCCTAAACCCTAAACCCTAAACCCTAAACCCTAACCCCCCCCCCCCCCCCCCCCCCCCCCCCGCCCCCCCTCAGGCTTCCAGACGTGGGTTGGGAAGCCAGCTTTACAGTCTCCCCATGCTTGCTTAAATCTAATTGCGAACGAGGCCCAGAGGAGGATATCTTGATGGTACATTTCTTAGGGCGTGGACTTGTAGCTTAAAATGTTCATCAAGTCTTATTCTGAATGAGGCTTAGAAGGAATGTCTTATAGGTGTGGCCCTCTGAACCTAACGTTACAAATCAAATTCAGCAACAAACCAAGGCCAGTTGAGGAGCTCTAAAGTGTGGGTAAAGAAAACAAAATCCAAGTAGATTTCCGTGCGAAGGAGAGGCCAGAGGAGGACATACGGTGTGGTCTTCAAAAGAAACAAGAGATGAAACTACGAATGAGGCTTAGGATGGCTTGGGCTGTGGCCAGTAAATTTAGTCGTCAAAATTGGGTCGGTTTAATTGCGAAGCCCTGATGAGGATTTCTTAGGGTGTGGCTTTAGAATACGCAGCCCCACTGACATGCAATGAAGAGGCCCTCAGAACAGGATTATAGGGTGTGGCCCTAAGCCCTAAACCCTTAATATACAACTCTAAGTAGAATTTAACTACGAATGAGGCTCAGAAGATGACATCTTTGGGTGTGGCCTGTTAATAGGGTTTAGGGTTTAGGGTTTAGTGTTTAGGGTTTAGGGTTTAGGGCTTACGAACGAATCCCAGATGAGAAGTTCTTAGCGCGGGGCTTCCCATCTAGAACCATGCATCAATAAATTGCGAAGCAAGCCCGGATGAGGGTGACTCAGGCGGGAACCTCTGAATATAAAATCCAATCAGGTTCTGTTCCGAATAGGCCCAGAAGAGCATTTATAAGGTGTGGCATTTTTACTTGAACATCGCAGCAAACCTAAATGCGAACGAGGCACAGAAGAGGATTTATGACAGTGTGGCCCTTGAATTCTCTTTCCGAATCTGAAGACTTGCGATGTCCTGGCGAAACTCCAATATTCAAGTTGCATCTATGTGAGGGTTATGCAAGAATCAAATCTCAAGCCTGTGCAGCACAACGACTTTACAACCGTTTTGCAACCATTAGGAGCGCACGTCCTTTTGGAAGGATGTATACATATATATATATATATAATAATTATATTGTATATATGTTTATGTATTTATATTTATATTTATATTTATATTTATATGTTTTTTATGCATACTCACATACGCACATGCACACATGTGCTTGTGTGTGTGTGTGTGTGTGTGTCGGTTTCTGGGGTATTTCAGAGGTGCCCCCCCCCCCCCCCCCGTTCAACTACACCAAAAGCGTTTTTCCTATCCTGGGGAACCAAGGCATTGCTCGCAACGACGATTTTTGTCGAGAAGGACTCTGTCGCCCCTTGGGCAAAAGTGTGTGAACCCCCACCAAACCCCTAAACCTAACCCCAAACCCCAAACCGAAAACCCTACACCTGCCTCTGTCCCGTCCACCTGAACTCCAGGCATTCCTCTTGCTCCCCCTCGGGTCTGCTTGACGTTTTCCCGGTTTTTTCTGGCTCACCAAGGGGAGTTTAGTTTGCACAAGGCGGAGTAGTAGTAGTGGTAGTAGTAGTAGTAGTAGTAGTAGTAGTAGTAGTAGTAGTAGTCGTCGTCGTCGTAGTAGTAGTAGGAGGAGGAGGAGGACGAGGAGGAGGAGGAGTGGTAGTAGTTAAGAAATATACTCTCAGATTCTTCTTTAGACAACACAGCTTTTCCCCCACATCAAGATCCCCGGAAGACGAACTGCGCAGAATTGCGGTTTAGGGTTCAGTACTCAAAACTTCAAACCTTCAGAAATCAAGCCCCAGACGCTCTGAACCGAATTGAAAGCCCTATAAGCCTGGCTAAGCCTTCAAAACCTTAAAACCTTAAAGCCCAAAACCCTAAAACCCTACAACCCTACAGCCCCAAAACCCTAAAACCCTAAACCCCTAAAACCCCAAAACCCCAAAACCCCAAAACCCTAAAACCCTAAACCCTAAAACCCTAACACCCTAAAACCCTAAAACCCTAAAACCCTAAGACCCCAAAACCCCAAACCCTAAACCCTAAACCCTAAACCCTAAACCCTAAACCCTGCCGAGGCCTTCCTGGCCCGCTTCGGGCTCTGCCAAGGAGCGCAGATCCTGCTCGGCGTCGTCTTTGCCCAACGCAGGCCTGTTTGCATTTATTTAGGGTTTAGGGTTTAGGGTTTAGGGTTTAGGGTTTAGGGTCTAGGGTTTAGGGTTTAGGGTTTAGGGTTTAGGGTCTGTGTGTGTGTGTGTGTGTGTGTGTGTGTGTTGCGTGGGTGGGTGGGTGGGTGGGGTGGTTAATTGGAGGGTTCTGGCGCGGGGGGTTCCCTTGGGTGTTTTTGCAGCTTGGTACTTGCGGCTGAAAAGGATGTAATATCGGGGATCGGATATCTTACTGATCATATTCCCTTATGGTCCCTTTGTAACTATACAAATCCGAGCATCTGTTTAATTGGTGGGCCCCCCCCCCCCCCCCCCGTAACCGAGCATCTGTTTAATACCGCAATAAGAAAGGCAGGGCGCCGGCCGCAAGAATAAGACCATGGCAATGTAATGATTCTCTATGATGAATAACAAGAGGCTGCAGATCGCTGAGGTGCTGCACGTAGCTTCTCAGCTCAGCAAGCAAAACAAGAAGCCTCCCGACAGATTTGTGAACCCCCCCCCCCCCCCCCGAAAAAAAAACTTTAAATGTGGTGTTATTGGCCCATACGAAAACCCCGTAATGGAAGTAGTCTTCCGGCGGGCTTCTCGACCAACAACAAGTTCTTTAAACGTGGAGGTATTAATTAAGCAGGTGCGCGGATTATAATAACCCCCAAAACGCTATTCTTATTATTTAGGTCAGGGCTTGTAGCTTAGAGACGGTTGCGCCGCGTGTCTGGGTTAGGGTCTCAGACCTTTGGCCCTACTGCGGCTAGTTTGATGGGCCCTTGGTATGGTCCCTTACCCTCTTTAGAGGCCCTTTGTGCGTGTAGGGAAAACAAGGGGTCTATAAGCGGGTACCCTTTAGTTCCCCACCTTACACCCACGAGCCCTAAACCCTAATCCCTAAACCCTAAACCCTAAACCCTTTCCTCTTTGGCAGAACTGGGGCGCTTGCACTCTGCTACGCTGCAGCTTTCACGATGAGCACCGTCGCCGTCTTGGGCCAGGAGGTCTTGTCCTCCAAGCTCTTTGGCTGTCTTGTCCGTAGTATTTAGGGTTTAGGGTTTAGGGCTTAGGGACCCTAAACCCTAAACCCCAAACTCTAAACCCTAAACCCTAAACCCTAAGCTTTAGGGTTATACTGAAACAGTCACATCGGTTCCAACCTTCGAAGGGGAGTACTCCTTGGTGGGATTGAGCAGAGCTTGAGGTCAGGGCTCGCTCGCAGCTCTAAGTTCTTAGGTATAGGGTTTAGGGTTTAGGGTTTGGGTTTTCGGGTTTCGGGTTTCGGGTTTAGGGTTTAGGGTTTAGGGTTTAGGGTTTAGGGTTTAGGATAGGTTCCCTCAATGAGAATAACAAAAACATTGCGGCTGAGTCTTTTATTTTATTGCTTTTTGATGTTTTTTTCATGTTTTTGTATGTTAGGTTCCCTCAATAAGCACCTTATACACTAATACGGGTCCTTCTGTTTAGGGGTTCAGAAACTATGATGAATACTAAACCCCAAGGCCTCAACTGCAGCAGTTGATTGTCATGTCTTAAAGGGCAGTTCAAACTTCGTTGCACAAGGAGGTTTCTCCAGAGCTTTATTTGGGCATGAACAAACCCTCAACCCTTAACCTTGTAAACCCTTTAAACCCTTTAAACCCTGTAAACCCTGTAAACCCTGTAAACCCTGTACACCCTGTAAACCCTAAGCCCTAAACCCTAAACCCTAAACCTTAAACCCTAAACCCTAAACCCTGTAACCCTGTAACCCTGTAACCCTGTAAACCCCAAACCCCAAACCCAAAGTACCCATTCAAGCCCTGAGGTTCCTCTTGGAGCAGGCATTCCAAGCTGCCATCGCCATTTGCTTGCCCTCCTTTGTCGAGGTGCTGGGGGCCAGGGATTCAAGGACCCTAGATTTTAGGGTCTAGGGTCTAGGGTTTAGGGTTTAGGGTTTAGGGATGTTTAGGGTTTAGGTTTTAGGGTTTAGGGTTTTAGGGTTTAGGATGCCCTAAACCTTAAGCCTTAAAACGACCTAAAGGCTTTCTATTTTAACCTCTTTAGCGCCCGTTCATGGGTTTCCCCTTTTTTTGGTTCTGCGGGGCTATCCAATTTTGGGTATTTTGATGTAATCCCTAAACCCTAAGCCCTAAGCCCTAAACCCTAAGCCCTGAGCCCTAAACCCTAAACCCTAAACACCCAAGCAGCCCCAAACCAAGCAACATGGAAGTCGGAAGTCTTCGAGGGTCTAAGGTTGCCAATTAGGGTTTAGGGTTTAGGGTTTAGGGTTTAGGGTTTAGGGTTTGGGAGCTCTGTTGGGACTACGTGGCTTTTCAAATTTCAATGACTCCACAAGGGCTTGAGGGTTGAACTTCCTAGTAGCTAGTATCCCTAAACCCTAAACCTTAAACCCTAAATCCTAAACCCTAAACCCTAAACCCTAAACTGAATCCTAACCCTAAACCCTAAACCCAAAGCCCTAAACCCTAAACCCCAAACCCAAAATCCCGAACAAGTCGGACGGGCAAAGGGACCGCTAAGACAGACCCCAAAATCGTGGGGTCCCCTTGTAATAGGAACCCCAAGAAGGTTTAGGGTTGTGGGTTTTGGGTTTAGGGTTTAGGGTTTAGCGGCCCCCAATTTCGGAAGCCACCAACAATATGTACCCTGTGAAGGATTGTATAGGGTACCTCATTCCCTCATTCCCTACCCTAAACCCCAAACCCCAAACCCCAAGCCCCAAGCCCCAAGCCCCAAACCCTGAACCCTGCACCCTGAACCCTGAACCCTGAACCCTGAACCCTGAACCCTGAACCCTGAACCCTGAACCCTAACCCTAAACCCTAAACCCTAAACCCTAATCCTCTGTGAGGCAGCGATACGAGACCGCATCGTAGCCTCCTGCCGGTCCAAGGACTCGGACTCATTGATCTTGGCACCCCTATGGTACCCAGTTTTTCGTGGCTGGAGGGTTTAGGGTTTGGGGTTTTTGGTTTAGGCGGGTTTAGGGTAGGGTTTAGGGCTCTAGGGCTTTAGGGCTTTAGGGGTTCGGCACGAAGACATGCCTGAACCCCCCCCCAAAAAAACAAAACAAAAAAAAAAAAAAAACAGGGCTTTTGCTTGCGAAAAGTCTGGGCCTAGGATCTATGGCTTCCGCCAGATGTTGAAGGGGATATGCGACGGCGAGCTGCTGCTTGATAGCGGCTACCGAGTCTGCGGCAGTGCGGACTGCTTGCAGCGCCTGCTCGTGACAAAGGAGGACTTTGTTGGTCGCGCGCTCCAGGACTTGATCGATGGCGCCTGGGGACTCAATGAATCCTAGAACGGTTTGTTGTCCGTGCATACATATATATATATATACGTACATACATATGTATGTGCATATATATATATACACATGCAGCAACATACATCCATGTGAATAGATTGCGAAAAATTGAGTAACCGTATGAATACCTTTGCATGTGCATACGCGCATGCTCCCTCATAGGGGTTTTGGTAGCAGAAGGTCCCTGATCCCAAATTTGTGGTTCATGTGGTCCCCAAGGCAAGGACGACATTGAGAACTTTGAGAAGTTCGTGGCGGCAGCGGAGGTGATAGCTGACAGCCCCGAGGCTGCTCCGCGATGCCTGCGCGTGCCGCTGAAGGCCCCCTGTGGCCGGATCGTGTCTGTAGACGTGTGCCACGTTCCATTGCCGCAGCTCTATGGCCAGAAGTCTCTGCACCACCTGCTGTCCCTGACCGAAGACGCAGGATTGTCCTTGAACGCCATTTTTACATCTTCGTAGCAGGTGTGCTACTTAGACGGGTCCGCAGAAGTTAAACGTTTGCCCATGGGGTCCAAGAAGAGCTAAGGACATGGATGCGCGCAAGGAGCCCGAAGCTGTGCCGGTGCCGCCCGTGACCTCGGATCTTCCCCAAGAGGTGCAAAGGCCGGAGTCCGTGCGGTCTGCGGCAAGCAGCGATACGTGCATAGAGCCTCAGGTGACGAGTATAGGTACCTTTTATACTTGTAAACCTTTATGGGGAATGGTTGAACCCTTCTTACAACCCAATGGTCGTCCTTTTTCTCCTAGGCCCTGGAAAAACTCAGCCAGTAAGGCTAGGACCCAGAGTATGCCCTTATTCCCCTTGTAAGGGTTTAGGTACCCTTACCTTTAAACCGAAAAAAGGGTACCCACTTTATTCCTAGGTTACACTTTGGTCCAGTTACCCTAAATCCTAAACCCTAAACCCTAAACCCTAAATCTGCCAGAAGGAGTTCTACGAGGAGCTTGCGGAGATGACGCTGATCGTGAATGGCAGCACTGAGCTCCTTGGGGACCAAATGAACCCTAAAACTGGGGCCCTTTACCTACTACTATAATCCCTATTAAGGACCCTAAACCCTAAACCCTAAACCCTAAACCCTAAACCCTAAACCCTAAACCCTAAACCCTTTTAAGGTTCATTTAGTCCTTAAGGCTCCTTGACATTGAGGAGGCGCACCTGCGCTTCGAGCGGCAGACTCACCAGGCCATGGGGATGCCCGGTACGGGACGTTTAGGGTTTAGGGTTTAGGGTTTAGGGTTTAGGGTTGAGGGTTGAGGGTTGAGGGTTGAGGGTTTAGGGTTTAGGGTTTAGGTTTAGGGTTTAGGGTTTAGGGTTGAGGGTTTAGAGTTTAGAGTTTAGAATTCAGGGTTTAGGGTTTAGGGTTTAGGGTTGAGGGTTTAGGGTTGAGGGTTTAGGGTTTAGGGTTTAGGTTTAGGGTTTAGGGTTTAGGGTTTAGGGTTTAGGGTTTAGGGTTTAGGGTTTAGGGTTTAGGGTTTAGGGTTTCCCTTGCTTTAAGGTTGGGGAACACCTGCTTCAACTAAAGGCTACCCGAACCCTAAACCGTAAACCCTACTGAACCAGAAAATGGTACCACGTTGCTCCGAGTTTACTGGCCAACCTTGGTACTTAAATACCCTCCCTTAATCATTGCAAGCCCCTGTAGACCCTTTTTCTTATAGCCTCAAAAACGCCCTAAACCCTTCCCTAGAGCTGAGTAGGTACCCCCTAACCTTTTGGGGGAAACTATTATCCTACCAGAATGACAAGGTTTACCTTTTTGGCCCAGGGTACTCAACAACGCTAAACCCTAAACCTTAAACCCTCAGCCACTAAAAGCCCCCTAAAGCACTAAGTCTTTGTGTGGGGTGAACCCTAAACCCTAAGCCCTAAACCCTAAACCCCAAACCCTAAACCCTAAACCCTAAACCCCAAACCCTAAACCCCAAACCCTCAACCCAGGCCAAGTTCAGCATGGGCATGCCCAGGCAGGGACGCCAAAGCTCAAAAGTCCATGTGGGGGTCCTCTCAGAGCCCCTACCCTGGGTTTAGGGTTTAGGGTGTAGGGTTGAGGGTGACATCGCGTGGCATTCCTCCACGCCACGTATACTGCAAGTGACAAAAACTGCGCAATATAGATAACACTATAAACCCAAACCCTAAACCCTAAACCCTAAACCCTAAACCCCCCAGTCTGAAACGCTTCGCGCGGCCACTGGACTGGCATGGTATCGACGTCGCCTTGCGCCGCTATGCCCGACAGGCACGTTTAGGGTTTAGGGTTTCGGGGTTTAGGTTTAGGGTGTTTCGGGGGTTTGGGGGGTTTTGAGAGTTGTTGGAGGTTGTGGGGGTTTTGGGTGGTTTTGGGGTTTAGGCAAAGGGGGTTTAGGGTGGTTCAGTGTGAGTGCGTGTCTCAATCCTGAGCATCGTGCCTGAACAGGACCCAGCCCTAAACCCAGCATAGCAGCTACCTAGACATTCCATCAGGTGGTTGATAGCAACCACCTGGGAAGAACAGGGTTCAGGGCCTAGGGTCTAGGATTTAGGGTTGAGGGCTTAGGGAAGCGTGCTATCACGGACTACTTCACATGGGGAGCGGCCTTTTTCTTGCACTTAGCAGAAGCTTGGGGTTCGGGGGTTTGGGTTTAGGGCTTAGGGTCTTAGGGTTTAGGGCTTTGGGCGCTTTGGGTGTTAGGTCTGAGGCTTTAGGGTTTAGGTCTTAGGGTCTGAGGTCTTAGGGTTTAGGGCTGGGAGCCCTAAACCTCAAACTCTAAGCCCTTAGCCTGAAACAGAAACGTGCGGAGGTGTCCAGGGGCGGCGCTGCAACTGAGAAGGTGCTGGCGGGCGTTAAGTTGCTCGACGACAAGACGATCCCTAAAGGGTTTAGGGTTAAGGTGTTTAGGGTTTTGGGGTCCATGGGGTCTGAATAAGTTTCCCCAACACCATAACCCGAAACTGATCTGTACAACAAACCCTAAACCCTAAACCCTAAACAAGGGAGGGGGGGGGGGGGGGGGGGGCTGGCTGGGGATGACTTGGGAAAGTAGGGACTAGTTGGCTTGCACACATAGGCATAGGTGAGTGTATATGTATATTAAAAAAATATACAAGTTTAGGGTTTAGGGTTTAGGGGGGTTGAGGGTTTAGGGTTTAGGGTTTAGGGTATATATATATATATATATTTTTTTTTGTATACCTATATATCTCTCTCCATGCCCGAAACCCTCGAAGCCCGCACCCTTAAAAAAAAAAAAAAAGCAAGACCATGTGAGAGAGGGTAGTTGGATTCGGGATTTTGTCTAGGAGTCTCCCCTAGTTTTCAGCTCCATCCTTGTGAAGTTCATTATCCTTAGCCCTGAACCGAAGCCCTTAGCCTCTAACCCCTATATAAACCTCTAAACCCCTAAACCTTTAAATTCCTCTAGCACCTCAAAAACCCATGACTCTTGCACCACGGTTGGGCAAAACACCTCCGAAAACCTGTAATAACCTGAAAACCTTGACTCTTTCTTAAAACCAAGATTGGGCCCTTTCGAAACCTCTGATAAAGACTTCTAAGCACCTTGACGCTTATACACCCAAGATTGGGCCTGCTAAAAACCTCTGATAAAGCCTCTAAACATAATGACTCGTTTTGAAACCAAGATTGGGCCCTCTAAAAACCTCCACTCAAACCTCTAAACACTTTGTTAAACCCTAAACCTCCAAGCCCTGGACCCTAAAGCTCTAACCCCGAACCCGAAACCCTATACCTTTAAACCCAAAACCCCCAAACCCTAAACCTCTAAACCCTAAACATCTAAACCCCTAAACCCTAGACCTCTAAACCTTAAACCCTAAACCCTAAACCCTAAACCTCTAAACCTAAACCCTAGAACCCTAAAACCCTAGAACCCTCAGCCCGAACCCCTAAACCCTAAACCCTAAACCCTAAACCCTAAACCTCTAAACCTCTAAACCTCTAAACCTCTAAACCTCTAAACCTCTAAACCTCTAAACCTCTAAACCTCTAAACCTCTAAACCTCTAAACCCTAAACCCAAAACCCCCAAGCCTTAAACGCTCGACCGCTAAAGCCCTAAATCCAAAACCCCTAAACCCTAAAGCCCTAAACCTCTAAACCCTAAACCTCTAAACCCTAAACCTCTAAACCCCTAAACCCCAAACCCCGAAACCCCCAAACCCCCAAACCCTAAACCCTAAACCCTAAACCCTAAAACCCTAAACCCTAAACCCTAAACCAAGATTGGGCGTGCCCGGTGAGCCGCGCAAGCAGCTCCTGGCCCGGCACGCCACACTCAGCTCTCCGTTCGTGCCCTCTCTGGCTTAAGGTGGCCGTTTTTGTGGGAGTTCAGTTTAGGGTTTAGGGTTAGGGTTTATGGTTTAGGGTTTATGGTTTAGGGTTTAGGAGTTTAGGGTTTAGGGTTCAGGGTTGAGGGTTGAGCGTTGAGGGGTTGAGGGTAGGCTTCAGGGTTTAGGGTTTAGAGTTGGGCTCTTTTGCTGGTGTGTTTCTTTGCATACATGTGTTCCAGGGCGGGGGCAGTGGTCGGTAGAAGTCCGAATTAGGCACGAAGGCGCTGATTTCACTTTTTGAAACCTGCCTAGTCCGCTGATTGGAAGCCTACATCCAGGAATAGGCAGCACTACCCTTATAGTCTGTAAGGTTAAAAAGGAACCCTTTTACAAGCCCTAAGCCCCAGGCCCTGAAACCCTCAGAACCCTCAGACCTTTGAACCCCCTAAACCCTAAACCCGAAACCCTAAACCCTATACCCTAAACCCTCTACGCTCTTTGTTCCTGCAAAGGTGCGGACTGCGCCAGACGAACCTGTCTACCTATCCTTGCACTTGTTACCCGGCTGCGGCTTAGGTTTGAGAGTTTAGTGTGTAGAGTTTTTAGGGTAAGGCTTGTGGTTTACTAGGTAGACGGACAGGTTTACAGGGTTGTGGGTGTATGGGGCTCAGGAATTTGGGTTTGGAGTGTATACATACATACACACACACACACACACACACACACACACATATATATATATATATTACAGGCTGGTTTCTATCCGCGAACGCAGTTGGGAAGACAACTTTCATCCAAAGCTCTTCACCCCTATGTATACACCTGTATGTATGTGTGTATATATATATATAGATACACGCACCCAGATGTTGAAGAAACATGTCCCACCACCTTGACCTTAGCTGCGGGCCAAGAATCAAAGCCCTAACTTCCTCAACCCCCCAAGAGCCCCCTTGCTCTCAGTAGGGAATGAGGGAATGAGGGCCTCATATATATATATATATATATTATATATATATATATTTCTATATATGCCCTAAGGGATTCTTTAAAAGGGCCTTCATTCCCTGCTAAGAACCAGCCAGAAAAACAAATCCGAGGCAGGACTTCCGTGGGGAGCGGCTGAGAGAGCCTGAGCAGCGGCTAGAGCCTTGGCGGCCCAAGTGGTACCCTTTGCTGGCTGGCTTAGGGTTTAGGGTTTAGGGTTTAGGGTTTAGGGTTTAGGGCTTGGGGTTTAGGGTTGAGGGTTGAGGGTTGAGGGTTGAGGGTTTAGGGTTTAGGGTAGGGAATGAGGGAATGAGGGCCCCATAGCAACCCTTTAAGGGATTCTATAGGGCCCTCATTCCCTCATTCCCTACTACGAAACAGGGGGTTTACCGTTTTGTCTTGTGTAGAAACACACTCGGAGAGGTTGGGTTTAGGGTCCAGGGTTTAGGCCTTAGGGTTTAGGGTTCCCTTATAAAGTAACCTACTAAAAAAGGGCACCCTTATCATAATATGGTTCCTGGCGTACCAAGGAGGGCGTCGAGGAGGACAGGTCCCCTCAAGCGCGCCCTTGCTTGGATTCAAGTTTTGGGTTAATTTGGGGTTAAGGGTTTGGGTTTAGGATTACCCTAAACCCTAAACCCTAAACCCTAAACCCTAAACTTCCGAGGCATGCCTCAGCTGCGCAAATGTGAGCTCACTCTGCGACAGAAAAAGGAGCAGCCGCCAAATCGTAGAGTTTAGGGTCTATATTTAGGGTTTAGGGTTTGGGGTTTGGGGTTTAGGGTTTGGGGTTTGGGGTTTAGGGGTCTATGTGCCTTTCTTTTCTCCCAAAGTAGGGGTACCCCTTTTATACCCCAAATGGAATAGGAACCCCTGAAAACCTTAAAAGGGGCCCCCAAAAAGGGTAGCCCTATTTCGGAAACCTCCATATGGCATCGACTGGCCCTTTCAAAGACCCAGCAGCGTAGCTTAGCTTCACATTCGGCCTTTGTCCTGTCCGGTCTGGTCCTGAGCCCCTCTATGGCCTACAAACCCTCCTTGCTTAAACCCCAAAACCCTTTGGCCAAACCCAAAAAATCCTGGAGTACCCGACATCCTACGAACGCTTTAGCCTATTCAACCCCAACACTAGCACCCAGCACCCTAAACCCCTAAACACTATAAACCCCAAACCCCAAAACAACTCTAGATGATCCTCCAAATGCTCATCCATGGCACGGAACTGGCCGACTGACTGAGCCCTTCGGAAATTCGGCCGAATTTTTTTCAACCGCACACCTAACAACCCTCACCCTGATCGAATTCGGGGTTTAGGGCTTGAGGGGGCCTGGTGGGGGTCCGAGCATTCAGGGCTTATCATATCAACAGCCCGCCCCCCCATGTTTCAGAGGGTTTCAAGGGCCGTAGTAGTCAGGAGCCTATCAGGCCAGGTTCGGATTTTTGGGGAAGTCGTTCAGTCTTTGGGTCTTATCAGGGTTTCAACCCTGCACCCCTAAGCCCTAAACCCTAAACCCTAAACCTTTAACCCTAAACCCTAAACCCTAAACCCTAAACCCTAAACCCTTAACCCTTAACCCTTAAACCTAAACCCTAATAAAACCCTAAACCCTAAACCCTAAACCCTAAACCCTAGACCCTTAAGCACCTTCAGGCGCAGGAGATCCTCAGTTCCCTGGAGTCACTCCCCACGCCCACAGCAGCCAGCGCACACTGCGTCAAGGCCTGGGTGAGGGTTTAGGGTTTAGGGTTTAGGGTTTAGGGTTTAGGGTTTAGGGTTTAGGGTTTAGGGTTTAGGGTGTAGGGTGTAGGGTGTAGGGTGTAGGGTGTAGGGTTTAGGGTTTAGGGTTTTGGGTTTTGGGTTTAGGGTTTAGGGTTTAGGGTGGCCGTGTGGTTTGCAATGGCTACCGAGACCCGAAGCCCGAAACCCTGTACCCCTAAAACGCCAAAAGCCACAAAAACACCGAGAGCCCCTAAAGCCCTAAAGCCCCCAAAAGCCCCAAGGCCCCATAAGCCCCTAAAGCCCCTAAAAAGCTCTAAAGCCCCCCTAAAGCCCGAAAACGCCCCTAAAGCCCCGAAAACGCTCCTAGAGCCCCTAAAAGCCCTATACCCCTAAAGCCCCTAAAACTTCCCTAAAGCCCCCCAAAACCCCTAAACCCTAAGCCCCTAAACCCCTAAGCCCCTGAGCCCTAGCAGGGAATTGCTTATGGCTGTACTTATAACCACATTAGGGCACTTCAGGGCCTTATAAGTACAGTTATAAGTACAGTTATACTTGGTCAGTAAGTACCATGAACCCCCAAGTATCCCTAAACCCTAAACCCTAAACCCTAAACCCTAAACCCTAAACCCCCAGGTGTTGCAAGAAGCCCTTGAACCCCCAAGTAGCAGGCCGCACAGGATGGCTTCCTCCGCCTGTTTTCGGAGCTGGCGAGAGTCCAAAGTCGCCTGGCGACTCGGCGTGCCAAGGTTCCCTAAGCCCTAAACCCTAAACCCTATACCCTAAGCCCTAAGCCCTAAACCCTAAACCCTAAACCCTAAACCCGAACTTGCTAGCCCAGTGGTACCCTTGTTTCCCTTTTGGTTTAAAAGGTTCCCTCAGTGTCGCCGGGCCCTGGACAAGAGTCCAGTGAAATCCCCGACTCAGACAAAGAAGAGGAGCAATTCGACATGATGGTTGGCGGCGGTCAAGAAGAAGATGAAGGTCACGATGACGCGCAGGGCCACGAGGTGACAAAGCGGGACTACATCATCGATTTGTTCCCCTACACCAGACCTGTAAGCTTCTACACTGGAGTGCTGACACAGGTCCTGGGTCAGTCCAGTCTGGTGGTGCTGATGACCACATCCGCTCACCCGGGCGCTGTCCTTGCAGCCCGTGCTCAAGCAGCTGAGGTAATTTGGCTGGTGGACAGGCCACGGCAGCACAGCATCGAGCTTGGCCGTGAGATCATGCGGAAGTATTGGAAGAATTGGAAGACCACCCACGAGCGTTCGGCGCAGAGGACTGGCGCCAAGAGGGCCCTGAAAGCTGGGGAGCTGCAGCTGATCGAGGGCCCAACCCCTTACTACAAAGCAACCAACACCCCCCCCCCCCCCCCAATAAAAGGGTACCCTTATTATAACAAGGCTACCGGGCACGACCAAGCCAGAGACATATGAAACAGAGTCTATAGAACGTTCCTGTTCTATTTTTGTCAGTGTACAAGGAAGATAAACCCTACTTCATCCTAAACCTGAACCCTAAACCCTAGACCCTAAACCCTAAACCTATATACTGCCAGTTTTCATAGAAGGGATTCTATAGGGCACCGAATTCCTTCATTTCCTACACTGAACCAGTATATAGATAAAGATAGATATGCATACATGTATATATATATATATATATATATATATATTATGTACATATATTTATATTTATATACTTATATTTACAGACTTGTGAGAGAGAGTGAGAGAGAGATTATTTTAAAGAGAAAACAAAAAACTGAAAGGGCATGCTTGTGCTGTTGCCACAGGGCTTGCGGTTTGGGGAACCCACTTATAAGCCCCTCAAGTGCCCTAATATGGTTACAAGTACAGTTGTAAGTACAGTTACCCTAAACCCTAAACCCTAAACCCTATATAAGTACAGTTCTGATTGGTTAACAAGTACAAGTAGGCTAGGAAGGGTTTCGGGCTCGCGGGTGAGGCTTGGGGAGTGTGGGACTGAGGGTGCGGTTTCGGGTTTAGGTTTAGGGTTTAGGGTTTAGGGTTTAGGGTTTAGGGTTTAGGGTTTAGGGTTTAGGGATATCTGACCTCAATAATCAATAGACACCCCCTCGGGGCTTCTGGTTTCGGATCCTCCCTCCCTCGCCCTCCCCCACCTAGGAAAAGCAGCTCCAGCTGAAACAGGCCGGCTGCCCAAGCACAAGGGACTAAAGGAGGGACCCTTATGAGGGACCTTAGAATTTGTTGAGGGGTTATTTAGGGGCTACTTCGGTATATAGGGACTTTTTTTCAGGTACATGTAGGGCCAACTTAATTGGGGGAATGAGATGCAGGGTCCCTTCAAGGGCTCCTAGGAGTCCCTCCGTATACCCTAAACCCTAAACCCTAAACCCTAAACCCTAAACCCTAAACCCTAAACCCTTAACAAGCAGAGCTGCGTTCTTGTCGGCGAACTTGCATGGTAGACCCTACTGGTGACTCCCACTTTAATAGGTTTCGGGCTTACAGATGCTTAAGTCCTAGAATCAGAGTCTTGCAAGCTACCAACGATGGAGTCTATGCAAGCAATTGGGAGATGTCATACTTTCCTTATTTGGGTTTATAAGGAATCCCCTACATCGAAGCCAAAAATCCGAAACCCTAAACCTAAACATTTTTCAGAGGGCTTACAGGCCAACCCAGTTGCGCCCGAATGCCCTGAAACCCTGAAGCCTTAAGAGGGCTCAGGACCCGAACACCCTGGCAGCCCAAAGAGCTCTAAAACAACCTTAGGGTTTAGGGTTTAGGGTTCAGGGTTTAGGGTTTTGGGTTCCTAAACCCTAAACCCTCAACCCTAAACCCTAAACCCTAAATCCGCACTTCAAAACAAAGTACACTCAGCGCAGCCCTGAGCTGCGAACCGCCACAAACAATTCTCTCAAACTCTAGGGTTTGAGGGCTTAGGGTTTAGGGTTTAGGCACTATTTGCTTACGAAGACCCAAGAAGTAAGGGAAGTCCGCATATCTTTCTGGGGCAGGAGGTTATCAGGAGTTCGTGGTTTCGGGTTGTGTGTGGCGTCTGAGCCCGTTTTACATTTGGTCCGCAGCAGCTGTCAAGGTTCGGAAACCCCCCATGGAACAACCAAATCCAAACCCTAAATCCTTAACTTCATTTCGCGGTGGCCCCTCGTAGCAGGGAGCGGTTGCCTCTTGCATCATGGCACTTACCATTGAGGTGAGCCTGCTGAGTGGCAGGTCGGTAGTACTCGAAGCAGAACCCGGTGAGTCTGTAAAAGCACTGAAGATCAGAGCGGAGAAGGCGCTCGCAGTTGGCAGTTGCAGGCTGCTGGACTCCTCCGGACACGTCCTGGACGGAGCAGCCTCGCTTGAAGAATCTCGGTTGCTCAGTGGCGACATGCTGACCTTACATGTAAGCAGCGTTCACGTCCACGGAAACTTGGGGGTCTTCGCTGCCATTCTGGGCGATGGGTCGGTGTCTTCCTGGGGCAACACATGTTTTGGTAGTGACAGCAGTGCTGTGCAACATCAGCTGAAGGACGTGCAGCAAATCCAAGCGACAAGCGCTATGGCCTACGCTGACAATGGCGGTGCTTTCGCTGCCATTCTCGGCGATGGGTCCGTTGTGACTTGGGGCGATGCTTCTTTTGGCGGCAACAGCAGTGCTGTGCAGAGTCAGCTGAAGGCCGTGCAGCAGATCCAAGCATCTGACTACGCTTTTGCTGCCCTACTCTGCGATGGGTCTGTGGTGACCTGGGGCCGTGCCGACTATGGCGGCGACAGCAGGGCTGTGCAAGGCCGATTGAGGAACGTTCGGCATATCCAACGAACTGCCTATGCTTTTGCTGCCATTCTGGGGGATGGATCGGTTGTGACTTGGGGCTGTGCTGGCGATGGCGGCGACAGCAATGCTGTACAGGATCAGCTAAAGGATGTGCAGCAGATACAAGCTACCGACAGGGCCTTCGCCGCCATCCTGGGTGAT